CCCCGAAGATTCAGGCAAACAAGTTATAAAAGAAAACTAAAAAGTTACACATTTTTACCTTGCTTATGCCCGTGATTATAAAAAAGATTACTAAATTTCCTACACAATGAAAAAAAAAATCAAAAAAATAAAGATACAGCTTACTGAAATTTGTAAACATGTTGGATCCAAACAAAAATGAAGATTTAAATTATTTTTTGTTTTCTTTGTCGATTATATTTATCGATAAAGTAACATTTATTTTTTTTATCTTTTGATATGTTGCATTATTTTATTTTCTTATTAATCTGGCATTTGATAACAATATGCTGTGCGAATTTTTCCCACGGGCCTACTATTATATATTATTATTATTGTACATTGAGTGTGAATGTGATCTCTGAACACTATTATAAATGTCCTTTGAGACAGATTGTAATATTTTCAATAAACCAAAAAAAAATAATAACTGTAATTAATCCCGAATAAAAAAAATCTACCTAAATGAGTTATATATAAGTGATTCTTGAAAGAAACGTCCCTGCCGATTGCATACGTATTTCCAGAATTCAAGAACTTAAATGATAGAGATACGATATAATTAATAGTTTTTTTTTATAGTTAATGATTTGTTAGCTCTAAGCTGTAGCTCCGTTAAAAATGCATGCAAGACCAACATTGTCAGAAAATTATTTCTATTCAAAGTAGAGTGGTAAGTGAAAGTTGTGTGATGCGTGCACCAGATTTTTAAACTTGTGATCAAATATCTTTACAAATCAGAGTATCACGAGGTAATTAGTAAAATTTCATATTGTATATTTGATGATAAATAAGCTATAAACATGTACCACTATTCAAGTTGAAAATTAGGGAATCCATGAAGAGTATTTAGGGAAAGTAGTGTTTCTTAACGAACGGTTGTGCAAGGAGGTGATTTGACCGAGATCACGCTAAACCACCACGTTTCCTGCCTTAAGCAATTATTTAATTAAGGGTACCCACTATATAGAGGCTGAATGTACTCCAGAAGGGTCGATCAATATTTTATCTGCCGTCAGCCAGACTCGAACCCGAGACCTTAACTATTGGAAGTAAACTTTTTTTTTTTCTTTCAATAAGGCGGTCGAAAAACCTGTGTTACAATAGCCTGTAGCGCCTAAACAAATTTACCGATTTCAATGAAACTGGACTAAAGTCTTCTCGATGCACTTTAAATTTATCTATATAACATACTACAACGAAAAAAAGCTGGAAAAAAGTTACTAGGGGTGGTAAAATTAGATTCCGAATAACTCAAAAAGTATACACTTTTTTGTTGTATCATTTGTTATTTAAAAGTTTAAGAAATTTTCTAAAAAACAAATCATTAAAATCGCATAATTTGGAGAAAAGATATGGTCTCTCGATATTTAATGCATATTCTACTACAAACGTTATATCCTTTGGTTTTTTTTTTTTTTTTTAATGTTACTGATGTAATATCACTTTTTTTTAGCAATTTTATTTTTTTATTTTTCTTTATTTAGAATTATAACAATCTGTCACTTGGATAATGGAACAAGCAATTTACTAAAGATGAAAAAACTAAGTTTCTTATGTCAATAATAGGAATCATCTTTTATTTATTTTTCTTTGTTACTTGGAAGGTAATGTTACTTTAGATGCATAAATGTTTGAAAATAATAAACCATTGCGAAACAATTTGTAGAGTTTTTTTTTTATTTAGGTTCATTTTTGAAAACAAAAAATTAAACTGATGGATCTATGACTGCTTTTACATGGGAATAGATACTAACCTCGATTTCCATAAAAATCGATTGAAATAAGCGACTGAATTGTTATATCGATAGAATACTAAAAAAAAGTAAAAGGAGGTTGTTCACTTCAATTTTAGACTATTAGTTTCCTACTCAGTTATTGATAGAGTATCCATTATTCATAAGTGATTGCTCAGTAAAATTACAGTTGTTCTCATTTTTGTAAACACAGGGTGGATTTTGATGTTTGCTATAAAAGTATTTAAGTAACGAAATAACATGTTAAAGTATGTAAGTTTTTTTTTGTAACTAGATACGTCTGTAACGGAAACATTTGTAGAAAACTGAACATCCAAAATGTAATCTGATTACAATACTTTATTTATTTTTCGAAAAGTAATGAATAAATTATTATAGATGAAATGTAAGGAACACAATTTTTGACTTAAGGACTTTGTCCCGACTAGTTAGTTACCATTACTGGAACGGTGGTAAGCCTGTAGATCGATATGGAACAAATTAGACTTTGAAGATTTTGATGCGTACAGCAAGGCCTTTCCTTCGGAACTATTAGGTCCTGCGTTTTCAATCCCAAAAACATACTATTTTTGAGATTATGTGAAAGATTACTAAATTTGAGGGATAAGGTCAAGGACAAATGGGGTATTAAGGTCATGATGTAGGGTTTTGTTGGTTACATAGAACGGAGCATCGACTATTGTTCGAAGGACTTTAGACTGAAAGGATTGGATGCGTTTGATTGATGAAAATTTTGCTGTCCCCCAAAGTTCAAGTCCGTAGGTTCAAGTAGGTTTCAGGATTGTCTTGTAGATCAGTAATTTGTTGTCAATTGAAAGTTGAGATTTTCTAGTCAGTAGTCTGTATAATTGGCCGTATCGTCGATTAAGTTCTTGTCTTTTAAGTTTAGTATGTGGGTTCCACGTTAGTCTTCGGTCTAACAGAAAGCCAAGATACCGGACTGTGTCTGAAAAAGGAATCTGGATGGAATTAAATTGGACTGATGGTCAGGAACTGAGTGTGAAGGTAATGTGTTTGGATTTTGATTTGTTTACTTTGATGCGCCATTTATTACACCAGTGCTCAATCATGGAGAGGTGCCTTTGCAGATTTAAAGATGCTATTTCGGAATCTGAGTCGGATGATAGAATGGCGGTGTCATCAGCAAATGTTGCCAGGAAGGTATTGGGACGGACAGGGATGTCGCGGTAAAAAGCATATAAAGGACGGGGCCCAAGACGCTACCTTGAGGAACACCGGCTTCAACTGGGTAGGAATTGGAAAATTCTGTACCACAGCGAACTTGAATGGTGCGATCAGAGAGGTAGGAGCGGAGGATTGGGGTAGATGGGTTTTCAGCTCGGAAAGAAGCCCGGCGTGCCATACCCGGTCGACATTCATATATTAGAGCTGGTTTTATCATAGCATTGTGCACCCTTAATTTAAGATTTTTTAAGTGAAAATCTCTTTAGGCACGTTTTGCATTTTTTTACTTTCACTTACGTATATATGTAATATATAGTAAGTGTAAGTATTGCGATCGAGAAAATTTTTGAATCTGAGTTTTCAATGGATTTACACGTTTTGAGGTACCCTGAGTCGAAATGACCAAGTCCCGAAAAATGGTCTTTGTGTTCTAGCTCAAAAACGAAAAGTCCTATGAAACTGATATTACGTATTTAAGATAGGTATATGCCTTAGTTGTGACAGCAACGTTTTCCTTAAAATCGGCTAACCGGAAGTGCCACTTTATATTAACGCTGAAAAACTTTTTCACAATTTTCTCAAAAATGGATCTAACGATTTTGATTAAACTCGGTGTATCATTGTATAATTAAGTGGTCTTTAATATCAATTAAGTCTTATCCCCATTGATGTCACTTTACAGGGCTTAAATGCCCAATGTTCATATACGTCTTCCTCTAAAGTACCTTTAATATGGTTTATTTTTAAAAAAAAACTAATCATTTCACATTGTTTTATATGGTTTTATAAAAGTTTACGGAATTTCCTAAAAAAAACAAAAACAAATCGTTAAAATCGGACAATTAAGAGGAAAGATGTGGGTCTTTAGTTTTTTTCCATGAAGAGGCGAAAATTTGTATAAATTTAAAATATATTTTTTTAATTTTTGAGACTAAAAAAAACTTTTTTCTACAGATATTTAATAAAGTATCTTTCCTAAGAACATCTTTCATAAGAAATAAGTACCTAAATTTATACCTTTAATCTCAGTTCTATATTTCAACACTGCAATCACCACCTCTGGAATCAACTTACTCATCTGCATAGATAACTTTTTCAATTAAAAATATCACTAAAATGACATTACTCAAAAATGTTAGTCGTTCTGTGGTTTATAAAAGCAGATGGAGTGACTAGATTTTTATTGCCTGTCGTCGATATATTAAATAGACATTTTGTAATTATAATGGTCTTAATGACTTGTTATCTATAAGCTTCAAGCTTTAGCTCCGTTTAAAATGCACTTTGAAAAATTTTATAATAGCCCAGCATTGCCAGAAAATAATTTCTATTCAAAGTAGATCGGTAAATGAAAGTTGTGTGTTGCGCGCACCAGATATTTTTTTTTTTTGGAGAGTGAATTAGATTGATCCGTCACATTTCGTTCGGCATTAATGCTCGGGTAAAGTCGGCTATAGTCGACTAATTAAAATATTTTTACATATGGTTTAAAAGATCTGAAAAACTATAAATCAGGCCTGCATACTGTAAGCTAGGAAATTGTTCGGTATTTCATCCTCTTTGTAATGAGATATAATTCAAAATTGTATCTTAACGAGATGCCGAGTTAAAGAGGCGAAAAGGAAAAAATAGTGTTGAAAACCAAATAAGGTTAGTAGAACATATGGATTAAAATATTTCATATACTAAAAATGGGGTCTGTATACTGTAAGCATTCCAGCATTCCATCTTCTTTGTAATGAGCTATTATTAATAATTTATATCACATGTTATTAATCTCGTCTTGTTAATTTTGTTTTTTGGGAGAGGATTTCCAATTCTTTGAAAGGGAGATGAAAGTTCTGTTTACGTTTGTTATACGCTGGTCTGTTTCCGACCGTTGGTCTTTTTCGATAGTAGAGAAGCTAAATATTGTTCTCACTTTTATATGAATTTTCTGAGAAAACCTCGTAAAAATCAACTTGCAATGAAAGCTTAGTTTTTGTATTTTTTTTTTTAAATAGCTGTATCAATTCTTTAAGCTAATTTACAATATTTCAGGTTATTGCATTGCATCTCTGAGCGATAGTAAAAAACGAAACGGACACATCCCTTACCGAGACAGTAAGCTGACTAAGCTACTAGCGGACAGCCTAGCTGGGAGTGGGGTCACTCTGATGGTATGTAGAATTATGTATTACATAATATATAATATATAATACTTTTAAGTTTGAAAGAATTAAAGTTGCTATAAAATAGTTTATATTAACTGTCAGTCTATCTTTTATCTTCTTCGACGATTCGTGCTTTCATTTTCTTTTAAAGTCAGTATTTCACCAGAACCTTATCCATCATTCAAATCCCTTTGCACAATCCCTATCCACCACCACCCATCCCTATAATTCTCGAAGAAGGTTAAAACGGCAGTGGCCTCGCGACCTTTTATAGTTTGTAAATATTAGAGTTCTGGCAATGGGCAGATTCTCCACTCACGACATGAGTGTATGTGACTAAAGCATTCTTGCTTAATCTCCACTGGATTTAGTACCAGTAACGCGGTTGAGAGAGAAGTGCAGGGATCTCCTGGAGTCATGCTTTTTCCTCCACAAGTTGGAGGGACAAGTCTGGTTTGGAGTTCTCTCGCCAGATTGTAAATATTGTATATAGGGATGTATGTGTTATTTTTATTTATTTATTTTTAGGTTATTTTATTCTTATTTATTGTATATATATATATATATTATTTATCTGTATAATTTATTTTATTTAATGTATATAGAATGTGAATGTGATCTCTAAACACTATTATAAATGCCCTTGAGACAGATTGTAATATTATTCAATAAATAAGTTTAAAAAGTCAGTAATATGTAAAGTTAGGAGCCGAGGTGATCAAGTGAGTTAAAGCTCCTGAAAAAAAATTATAATCAAATCTCAAAAAAGCGGGAATTAATTACACTAAAAAAATCTTTGAAACATCTTATCACAATATCAACAAAAAAGTGTATACTTTTTGAGTTAATCGGAATTTAATTTTACCATCCCTTGTAACTTTTTTTCCAGCTTCTTTTCGTATGTTTATATAAATAAATTTATAGCGCGTCGAGAAAATCACTTTAGCGAATTTTCAATAAAATCGGTACATTCGTTTAGGCGCTACAGTCTATAGTAACCCGCTTAGAATAGTTGCGCATATATAACAGAAAGTAGTGGACAGAATTCTATGACATTGACACTACATTATTTTTTCACCTATATCTACCTTTTATCCTTTTATGAAATATTGGCATACCTAAAAAAATACGTTTGCGCGTGCGTAAGCAGAAGTGCTATATAGAATTTAATAAAATTGATATGGGACCATCTAGGCACCAATCCGCATAATCTCTGAAAATTTCGTAGAAATCGGATGAACGGTACTAGGTGATATGGCCGTCACATCGATTTGACTACAGACAGACAGACACTGATTCTGAGCACATTTTTTTTTTTTTTCTTTAGGCGCTGCATTAACTTTTAAAGAAAATATACAACCGAATCGATAGGAGAAAAACGATACTGGACTGGCAGTAGATGTAAACTATACAAAACTTATCGAAAATGTGAACATACTGAGACGAAAATAATATGTAAATAGACTAAACTGATAAAAATGTAAACTAAATCAAAGTAATTGAATATATATGTATATTAGGTATGTGTACACTAACACAAAATAAACAAAAAAGTTCATATTAACATATATCTCAAACATATTTATTAAACAGATATCAAACGTTAAAGATTTATTATTTATTTACTACATTAAGACTGACTGTACAAAGTTTTAACATGTTTAATACTAAATAACAGGTTTTAATTACTTAATGAACAAATGAACGATAAGCAATGACATTAATTGCTCATTTGTTTGTCTAGTTCTGTGTTTATTAGTGTGAGTGAATACTATGACATAGTTCAATTTATGATTATCATGTGCTATGTATTGTAAAGACCGCCGGTGGTATTCATTTAATTATTTTAAAGGTGTAAATAAATAAATATCATAAGTGGCCACATCTGGCGCTATCTGTGCGAGGGTAACGACCCACAAGCCCAACCTTTTGTAAGTGGTAATAAAAACCTTTAAGAACCACCGACCAAGACCGAAAACTGAGTGTTTAAACAGGATCCCGAAAGACCTTTTCACACCTTCCACCAGAAATACGTAAATCTGTACCTGCTGCTTTACCTTGGCCTGGGGGAGAGGGCGTGGTCATCCCTTAGGCTAGGAATATTCAGCCAATCAGGAAAAAGACTACCAAAAGAGAGGGGGATGAAGAAAGGTGGGAAATAGAGAATTGGGACTGAGCACTTCTTTTGGGACTCAGCTGAGGAGACTTCAAGCGGGGGAGTCGAGGGAGGAAGACGAAGACAGCCGGAGAGAGCAGATGGACGGACTAGACGCTGAAGGAGAGCAGAGACAGGGAATCCAGATATGACGGCTAGAAACACCTAGAAACACTATGAAGGACCAGCTAAGTGGTAACAAGCATTTAGTTATACTAATGTAAATTTGTGTTGGCAACCATACATCATTAATTAATATAATCTATATAACACATATAACTTTAATCAAACATCAAGCATTCTCCTCCAGTATGATTCTCAACTATTCATTATGTATATAGGTTTAGTTATTATTTTGTATATAGATGTTTTTGGTTTTATTTAAGCTTGTAAATATAATAGTTAGTAAACCAACGTAGTACTTTTACCATCTACCTTGCATGCCACCAGTTAGATATAGAACAAATAGTAAATTTAAAAACATGATACCTTTAGAAAGGAAATCCAATAAAAATTATATGGTTCAATCTGGGATACTACAGTAGGGGGTCTGTGGTATCTAACATTTCAATACAAATATAAGTATGAAATACATTTTAATACAAATAAATGCGATTCCTGGAACCCCTTACCCGCTGTAGAAACGCGTGGCCTACAACATAGCACATTGTAGACACCATAAATTTATTAACTTTTGTAGAAAAAACAGACATGCTTTTAATTTATGGCGAGGTACATAGAAACGGTGCTGCTGCTGTTCGAATAATAATAGTAATAATAAATCTTTAACCTTTGATATCTGTTTAATAAATGAGTTTGAGATGTGTTCAATAACACAAAATAAATAAAAAAATTCATATTAACATATATCTCAAACTCATTTATTAAACAGATATCAAAGGTTAAAGATTTATTATTTATTATAAATATATATATACCATTAAAAAAGAGTTTTATAAGGCAAAATAAACTAAATATTTTGTAGGCAAAAGATGGATAAAGTTTTTTTCGAAAAAAAAAAAATCTAGAAAGTTTTGTTTTTATAGTTGTTATATTAATTGCTTTCAAAGATTTTGACAGCTTGTTATGTTGTTAAAGTTTATTATTTTCTCACTTTCGTATTATTTTTTTCAGTTAATATTATTTAATATAAAAAAAATATCAATTTAAACTAATGCAATATATAAATTATCACCTATTATTATTTAACATACTACTCTATATGAGTTAGCAGATATGCTAAAGACAGATTGGTTGCCTCAGGTAACCTTTGCTAATAAAAAACGAACGCTGAGGTCTTTGGCCTCGCTGAGGCGTGTTGAAGGGCATTGCCTCAACTTATAAATAGACCACCTCTCTAGGATAGTTGGGGTATCCCTGTTAAACTGATATGAAACATATAACATACTAAACTTGCTAATATTTTTAATTTTTATTAAAAAAAAAATGCTGCAAATTATTTCACAATGGTTTATTATTTCCAAACAACTATACATCTAAAGTAACATTATATTCCTATTTACAAAGAAAAAGAAATAAAAAGTGATTCCAATTATTGTGCTAAACTTTTTTTTTAATCATTAGTAATATGCTAAAAAAGAAAATACCATTACTTCAGTAACACATTCAAAATTTCAAAACCAAACAAAGGATATAACATTTGGAGTAGAACGTAATAAAAAAAACTGAAGACCATATCATTGCTACTAATTGTCCGATTTTAACGATTTTTTTTGTTTTTAATGAAATTCCGTGAGCTTTTAAAAAACCATATACAATAGAAATAGAAAAATCATCTTTATTCTGGGACTAGGTCCCTTTAGAATAACAGTATTGTTCATATAAATTAACCATAAATCTGACCAAAAGACCAATGTATAATTACAATGAATAATAACAAAATACTAGTAATAAAGTAAGTATAATAGCTCTTAGGATAAATTAACGAGAACAGTTGGATAATAGGGATTCAGTACTACAATATTGGAGCTAAAACAATAGCATAATAATCACTAAATGAAATTAGAAAGGAACGCAAAATCAATTTTATAGGCAAAGCATTGTAGTGATGGAATATAAAAATTAAAAAAAAAAAATTATAATAACTGTTAATACATAAAGAAATAAATTTAAAAAAAAAAAAATATGGTATACATATCTTCCCTAAGATATTTAAGGGATTACGCGTAAAGATTAGGAGAAGAAAAAAAAAATAAAGTGTATATATATACATATACACAAAGCTAGGAGTGATAATTAGAAAATAAAATACATTTCAAAGAAATGCAATCTCTTGAATAGAAAAAATAGAAATTGAGAAAAACAAATTTTATCTACTCACAATGCTTTGTGAGTGGTGATGAAAATTCACGTTCAACACAGTATAAAACAAAAAAAATAAGAGAAAAAAAATAATGTCTAAAGAAAATTAAAGCCTTATAACGTAATATGTATTTAACCAGCGTCTGATTGGATTGTGAAGAGGAATTGGAATAAGAGGGTTTTAAAGGTGGATAAGGATGATGTATGGCGGATTTTTAGTGGGATGGAATTCCAGAATGCAGTGGAACGGACAAAGAAGGAATGACAAAAAAGAGTATACTTTTTGAGTTATTCGGAATCTAATTTTACCATCCCTCGTAACTTTTTTCCAGCTTCTTTTCGTTGTAGTATGTTATATAGATAAATTTAAAGGGCATCGAGAAGACTTTAGCCCAGTTTCATTGAAATCGGTACATTCGTTTAGGAGCTACAGTCTATAGTAACGCAGGTTTTTCGGCCGCCATTTGGAAAGTAAAAGGCGGATAGAAATGTCGATGAAGGAGGATCATCTTCGGGTGACCTCTGATTT